CCAGGTGATGGGAAGCAGCACTTTAAACTGGTGTGAATTGCTGGTTTATCAAACATTCAATCCTTGCACAACAGCTGCTGTGTGGTGCTGTCAGACCCACCCTGCCACTTTATCACAAGTTTTGATTTCTTAGGGTAGAAAAACTAAGCCATGGGTTTTGTCTGGGGCAAAACCAGGAGTTAAGGTTCCTAAAGGGATGAGGGAGAGAGCCTGTTCCTTAATCAGAGGGGGCAGAGCTACAAAAGTAAAAATTAAGCCAGATGCTTTGAGTGGTTTGTATTGTATAGCTTAAGTGATTTTTCTGGGTCATTACTCAATGCGAGGATTTAAAGTTATTTCATTTTGCACAACTAATTACTCGACTTGCCTGACAATTCTGGATTACAATGAGCAGTGCATAAGGTCATTTAGCTGTCTGAGTCACAGCACATATTGTAGACTAAACTAAATTTCACGGCAACCAGTTAAGATTGTTTTTACCTCCTCTGAACAAAATGTCAAAATCTGAGGGTTGGAAATAAATATAATGACATAAACTAAGCCAGTAAGAGTGTTACAAAGGTAATAGAGTGGTTGTTTATAGGGACAGATCTCGAGAACAGGGAAATTCTATCCGCTTTACTTCTCACCAAGCAGGTATAAGGGAAACTCATTATCTCCTTTAACAGATGCAAAACTCTCCTTACAGCTTTCTTAATGCACCTAATTGTGTCTAGGAAAGGAAAACTAAAGGTTCCCATGGACTAGTTCAATCTTAATTGTGTTAATGGCACTATCAGACCTGAAGAGAGATGAATGGAGCCTTGAAAGGACAGGAGAGACCCACAGACCCTACTCAGAGGAATACAGACTACTATTTTAGCAGTTCTAGGCTCTATTCTTAATTTTATAAGGATGTTTATGAAGAGAAATATAATTTACGAAGATCTTTTGTCAAAACTGCTGGTTTACAAGAAAACATGAAAACTGTCGCCTCTTAAAGGTAAATGCAATTGATGGCATGTAGTCCAAGAGAAGAGAAGCAAGTACCTGGGAGGGCAGGGGCCAGAAAGCCTTAGGGATTGTGACAGGACCTGCCAGAACACAGCCCCTCCATGGACTATTTCCATAAATGATCTGTTACAGAGAGGGAACATCTTTCACATCTGTAGCAGCCACAGGCTCAGCTTGCTGAGTGCCCGATGTGGCCAGGGAACCTTAGCCAAGGAAACTCTAGATAGAGATCACAGGAAATGCGAGAAAAACAAACATTTCTTGCACTGCAGACCTAAAGCAACGTTATCAGCTGGGCAGTGAAACCCTCTGGATCTGCTCCGTCCATGCACAGCACATCCCGAGCCCACCAGCATCCCTCCCCGCTTCCCAGCTGGGCTTCTCCACTGGGAACAAGCAAGACAGAACAGCTCTTGGGGAAATCTCGCTGGGGCTGCCAGATTTGGCAATCAGAGCAGTTCTTCCCTTTCCCTAACCATCTCCTACTCCTTATCCAGCCAGACTGAGGGGCCACGTCTCTGATAAACTTTTATCAGTGAATGAAGTGGTTCCCGGCGGGTGGATTTACTGGATGGAGGGATCATTCTCTTTCCTCCTGTACATTTTCTGAGTCTCTGTGGTGGGGTTACTCCCAGCCTCCACCTCCAGTTTTATTACTGTGCATGTTGGTGTGGAATAGCCCAGTTCTGGCCAGCAGCCCTGGCTGTGTCCCCTCCCAACACCTTGCCCATCTCAGCCTAGTGACTGTGGGGACAGAATGGGAAAGGAAGAAGCCTGGATGCCATGCAGGCACTGCTAAGCAGCAGCCAACATACTGAGGCGTTATCCACACTGGTTTATCCAGAAATCCAAAGCACAGCACCACAGGAGCCACGACAAAGCCACTTCCCTCCATCCCACCAGGCCCGGCACATTCTTGCACACAGCAGGACGTGGCTGAGGGCACCACGTGTGTCCCAGCTGCCAGACGAAGATGCTCACACAACGGGTACGAACTTAATGAGGTGCCATCAGCGTTAAATGCTGCCTTCCACGGGGGAGAAAACCGATGTGGGCTCCCATGGCACAGATCAATGGCCGGGTCGATCTCAAGGTTCCCGCTCGGAGGCCACTCGATGAGTGAAAGCATTGCTTGGCTGCACAGAGCCAGAGCAAGCAGCCCCCAAAAAACGGGCTTTTAATCACTCTGCGTGAAATAAAACTGGAGTTTGCTTTGGTCTGCTCACAGACTAAAGCTGTTCCTGGGAGGGAGCCTAGGGGATGCTCCCATGCCTGCTCTGGAAGAACACAGTGCTCGGTGTGCACAGCACTGCCACAGAGCCTGTCTGGCTCTCTCATTTGCAGGATTCCCTCCTGCAAATCCTTAGGAACAAGGTGTGCTGGTTTCAGCTGGTGTAGAGCTAATTTTCTTCACAGTATGGGGCTACGTTCTGGATTTCTGAGCTCAGACCATCACACAAGGGTGGGCACCTCACTCCGCCCAGCACACACCTCATCCACCTGCAGGAGGAAGGGGAACACTTGGCACTCCTCTGGGCAGAGCAACCTGCTCATGCCAGCAGTGACAGCAGCACTGACTCTGTGCTGTCCCTGGCCAGAGCTGGATCCCTTTCCCCTCCACTTGGCTGAGGGAAATGCTCTGCAGACACAGACCCATGTCACAGGATCCCGTGCCAGCGGCAAGCGCGGCCTTCGGGTGGCTCCAGCCTCAGCACAGAGCCAGTGCCTGATCCCAGCTGCCAGCGGCGTGGTCTTCTCTTCAAAACCATGTTTTCAATTAGGGTTTCATGCGCAGATTGTGCCTTTATTGGCGGAGGCCTCCTCCTGAGGCCCGGAGATTGATTTATGAAGTTGATTAAAATATTAAAATAATTTTGTGCGATGCTGCAAACACCCTGCGATGTGCATTTTTCTCATAGTTGGTGTCGTTCCAATTAGTTTGAGACTCTCCTCTTCCCCTCCTCTTGTGACCTGCTTTGTTCACTAACAAATTACAGCTATCCTGGTCCTACTTTTGTATTTATTAGAGATGATGCATATGTGTGTGCACTGAACAGTTTGGAATGGGCTGGTGAGCAGTGGGGAGCCTGGCAGGCCGGAGCTGTTCTGAGTGGAGAAGGCATCCAGAACTGTCTAGCTGGAGGTATTTATTCTGATCTGCCTTATGCCACTGGCAAAATGAGGGTGAATCAGTGGAGAAGCAGGGAATAAAATCTATCTATCATGAACAGCAAGCTCTTTCTCTTGGCTAACTGGGATTTCTGTGTCAGAGAGCCCTGGGTTTCCTGTGACGCCTTCTAAGTCCACAAGCTGATCTCCCCAGGTATCATCAAGAGCCCTGAACATCCTCAATGTCCTTCCAATAGCATTTTGTGGCCATCAAAGAGCTAAGTACAGCACTGGTCCCTTCTGCACTGCCCACAGCACCAAAGTTCACCCCACCAGCTACCAAAGCCACAGGCAGAGCCACATACAAAGCACAAAGTCGGAGCCAGCACCCAGTGCCCAAATCCTGCACAGTCAGAAATCAAAAGTTTATGTCCAGGTATTACATGCAAACCCCCAGGGGATCCCTGGGGTCCCATGAGTGCTTTGGTGCTTTATAGGCAGTGGGAAGGACGCTCTGGATCCTGCCCTGGGGCAGCCCTGCGAGCAGCACAGGGCAGGCACAGCTCTGGGAGTGTGGGCAGGAGGCGGGTGTGGAGCGAGGAGCTGCCTTGGCCAGCTGCATACCATGGACTAAAATGGAAATCATCCTGTCAGCGAGGCACTGCAGGCCCTGGGCCACCACAGGGCTTTGTGGCTGAGCCCTGGGAGCCACTGCTGCCCCCAGCCATGGGGAAGGTGAGAGGTTGGGAATGGGAGATATTTCACCACCAGATGAAGCACTGCCACTATTCACGTCCCCTTTGGACCAGCATCATGAAACAGCAACAATGCTCATGCCCAGCTCAGACTGCAGTGGCTGCCTCTCATTCCCACCCGGCATCACTTGAGAAACCTGTGTCTGAAGTGATGGCAGTGGGACCAGGGGGCACTCCAGGTCTGCTCCCCACCACCCGTGTTTGCCCCAGGACTGCAGGGAGCGCTCCCGAATGATTAATAACATCGCGAGTACGCAAACAACCCACCTCCACCGCGCTTTCTCCTGCTAAACAGGGGCATTGCTATGGCAAACTTCATTTATCACTATTTAAAACCCAAACAAACGAGTACAGGGTGTTATAAATACGCTTACAAGACGAGCTGCGCCGGGAAAACGGGGGAAAAAAATGAGCCAGGAGCAATGGAGGAGGCGTGTGGGAGCACATCTCCATTTGCTGGCTTCCATGGAGCGAGGCTGCTCTTGGCAGCACCTGCAGGGCAGGATTCAAGTGCTTTGATGACCTCTGTCACCATCAGCCCTACAATGGGCCCTGTAATATACCACAGATGTTTTCTGAACAGAAAAATATCAGACCCGGGGAATATCCCCAACTCCCTGGAGGAGAGAGATGAATTGGCAAATGGAAGGCTACAGCGATAAGGGAGTTTTTATAAACATAACCTAATTGTATTACTTCAAAGTCCTGAAGTTTATTGCCCTGTTTAATGATGTGTCTTGTTATTTATGGTGTAGCACAATGAGTCTGCTATTGATTTAATGCACTTCCTTAAAGACTGTCATTGTCACAAGCAATAAAACAAAGCCATTCTGAGACAGCTCATTTATGTCACATCTCCATCAGCTGACCCCGAGCACCCCCAGCGTGTGGGGGCCACCGTGGTGAAGGGGTCACCCTGGGGAAGGACGGAGCCAGAGTGTGGAAGCTGAAGAGCAGGAGCTGGCAGGGTGGGTTTGCCTGGCTCAGGGATGCTGCCAAGGGACACGTGCCACTGTCTCTTGACACTGGGCACTCAGTTTGGGACAAGTCTCCTGCTTGAGCCCACTAACCAGCATGGTGAAGGTAAATGCATGGAGAGAGGGGGTGATTTGTGCTCCTGCCCGTTCCCGTCGCCCTCCTCACCTTTCTGGTACTGGAGCCAGAGCTGCTGCTGGACCTTCTTGCTGGGGAAGTGGATGGTGCAGCTGAACTCGGAGCCGTACAGCGCCTCCGCGATGTAGTGGGAGCCAAACTGCTGGATGAAGGAGAGCAGCTCCTCCCGGCTGCTGTCCTTGTTCAGGATCTTCAGGATGTTTGCAAAGCCTGTGGGAGGGAGGCAGGGGATGGGTGGGTTGGCCGGGCAGGGCTGGTAGCCACAATCCAGGGCAAGGAGCCCCACAGGGTCCCTGCTCAGGTCATACAAGTCCCTGGGTGGGTGCAAAGTGCAGTTCCTCCTCTCTTACCTCCATCATCTACCTGATCCTTTGGAATCCACAACCTGTTATAACCCTGGGCTGTGGCTCTGAGTTCCTTCTATGATTCCTCTCCCTAAGAGATTTCTCAAAGTATTTTACAGGGATGTGCACGTGGACATGTGCACACACACACACACACCCCCACACCCACACCCCCTCCTGCCAGCTCCAGTCTGGTGGCACATCATCAACGCTCTCCCCAGAGGATGTGCTTGGCCTTTCCTTGCCTGTATCCATAACCAGAGGTGTTCCATCTCTAGTCCACACACCCAGCACAACTGATAACTATTTCTGGGAGAGCTGGAGACAGCCCAGAGGGACACACGGGGCTGGACTGATGGCAGCTCCACGGGTGTGCAAGGGCTGGGGCTTGAGCAACATCCATGGAGACAGCGGGGACCTCTGGCATGGGACAAGGACACGGACCCTCACTGCTCTGTGGAGGTGAAATATCCTGGAGGCACTGGTGACTCCACAGCACCTCAGCATCATTTAGAATGGCTGATATCATCGTTTTGGTTCAGTGGTGGAATGGAAAACATACTGCAAGAAAATACGTCATAACTGTCACCAAAATGAAATTATCTGGCTGGTTGCTTGCTTGGTTTATTGAAAGGGAAGGTTGGTTTAATAAAAAAAGCCAGAAGAATTCATTTTGAGCTGAACCCAAGTATTTTTTTCGGCTCTGAGCAGGTTATTTCATTTTGGGGCTGTGCAGCCTGTTAGCACTAAATCTTTTTTTTTTCTTTCTCTCTCCATTTAAGAACTCGTTGATTTTTAAATAAAAAATGCTATTTTGAAATGAAAAGGCAAAACATTTCAGGTCGCAACAAAATGTTTCAGCATTTCTGAAACAAAATGTGTAGCTATAAAAACGTGGAAGTGAAATGTTTTGACATTTGCAGGATCCTCCCACCCACCCCTTCTTCATCTGCAACTCCCGGCTTAATATGACCTGCTTTTACAAGTGCTTTGGGTCCTTTTGATACCACATTTTTTCAAGTACTTGCTGATTTTCATACATACACGTACACAGAGCCACCCCCCATGAATCCTCCCCACAGTGTTGCTTATTGGCTTCATCCTGACTTTGACCTCAGCTCTTGGCTGAGCTGCACAAAGTCCCTGCCTCAGGTTTCCACCCTGTTAAAGGAGGAAAATCTCTCTGCCTGCCTCTGCAGCGGCGCTGGGAGCAGACCCTGGAGGTGGGAAATGTCAGTGGGATGCTTGGGGCAGATGGACACCACCCACCCACCCAGACACATGTCTCCCTGCCCCTGGAATCCCTCACCTGCAGAGAGGGTGATGGAGCTGAGCTTCACCCTGTAGAGGTTGCTCCTGACCCGCCAGTGCTGCACCATGGGGTAGCCCATTGCCTCGTCGTACTTGATGTCCCCTGCAAAGGAAGAGCCACTGCTGACCACGCTCTGGGGAACGCTTAATGCTCCCACCAGGCAACTGCTTTGCGAGGGGTGAGAAATGGGATGGTTGGAGGGACAGAAACCTCTTTGGCAGTGATGCCACGGGGTCTTCAGGCTGCTGGCAGGACCAGCACTGCGGCTGCCGGGAGCTCATGGGGACAGAGATGCTGCCATCTGTGTCAGGGTGGACTTACACAGCCCTCAGACTGTTCCTGCCCCAGGCACACAGGAGGGATGGCACAAAGGACCCTGAGATGCCACTGGTGCTGATTCCTCTCAGCAACCATGCTGGGATCCAGGGTGGGAAAAGGGGTTCTTAATTCTGCACTTGCCCCAGGGGCACTGAGCCTGGGGGCAGCTCATACCAGTGAGAAGCTGGAGGTCGGGAAGGGGCTCCGAGAGGACACCACGGCACTGCTCCTCCACGGGCAGCGGGATCACCAGGAGCCCGTCAGCCAGCTGTGGGAAGTCCTTGATGAAGTTATTCTCCCTGCAGAGAGAAAAAGACAACTGCAAAGCAACGATGCAGGGCACGGCCGGGCAGCGGGGCTGAGCTGCCCCAGTGGCACTGGGACAGGCAGCTCAGGAGGGTGAGGGACATCTCCTTGAGCAGGAGCCCTACCAGGGAATGGGGTTTGCAGCCCCCGCTGCAACCTGTCCCTGGCTGTGCAGCCCTCTGAGGTGATGTTTAATGAGCTCCCCAGGGACCACAGCTCCATTAGCACTCCAGAAGCATGGAACTTCTCTCAGCCTGGGGACCCAGCTACTGTTTTGGCCCAGATTTTCCAAGTGGGCCACTGGAGAGGGGATAGAGAGTGGTGAGGAGAGAGGAACAGCTGCCACACCTCAAAACTGCCCCTTTCCACACCTACAGCATCTCGATAAGGACAGTCAACAGGCACCAGACCAAGCCCTGCTGGAGCTCCACACAGCAGGCAGCACCATCACCCCACAGCTTCACCCCCCAACAACTCACTCTCCAAAAGGAACAAAAAGCACTTTTACAGACAGGCACCAAAAAAAACCCACTCTCGTGTACAGCTCACAGTGCAATTTTACTACACATGCAGGATCTTTTCTAACCTTGGCAGGTATAACATTGTATAATAGGCCCCTAATGAATTGTTTCTAGAACAACGGTACCGGGGAAATTATTTGAAATGGTGAACAGACAGGTCTCTGGGAGACGAGCCTCCCCCGGCAACCGAAAGCGCCTCACGCCTGCGCAAAGGAAACAGGAGGGGGGATTTTAAATATTGATCTTAGAGCCAAAATATAGGCCAGGAGGCTCCACGTCCTCCAGGTACGGAGACAAAAGGGCAGCGGAGCAGAAGAAAGGGAGGTTCCTGCAAAAGCAGGTCAGCCCCAGGAGCCAGGGGGAGGTTCAGGCTGGCACCGCCTGCCCCAGCTGTGTTTTTTGGAATAGACTTTCTGTTAAACAGCAGCTGGTTTCACTCGCCTTCCCTGATTTTACCCCTCACAGCCCGTTCCCTGGGGGGATGCTCCGCCATCCCATGATCATCTCGCAAGTGGGGACACCCTGGCTATTTCCATGAGTCCCACTGCAGTGAGACGCTGAATTCGTGGAACACTTCCCCAGGGTCCTCCCACTGCTCCGGGGCCAGGATACGGCCAGTGCAACCTGAATGAGAGGTGAACAAGAGGCCACAGCACTGTGCAACCAGCCTGGGGATGTTCCCAGCCCCGAGGCAGGCAAGAAGGATGAGGATGAGCAGCTGATGATGGGAACACATAAGTGGGGTCCAGGAAGTGCTCAAGGCCAGACTGGATGGGTCTTTGAGCAAGCTAGTCTAGTGGCAGGTGTCCCTGCCCATAGCAGGGGGCTGGAACTAGCAAGGTCCCTTCCAACCCGAACCATGCCAGTATTCCCTGGCTGCACAGGCAGCAGCTGCCTCCCGCTACACCCCCACCTCCAAGCTGTCGGCACCTGATTGTGTCTCAGGAGCTTCATTTTAGGCACTGCCAGAGAGAAAGTGCTTTATCTGTCTGAGGGGAAAAGCCTCTTGCTCACACCGTGCTCACAAATCTCCTATTGATCCTGCTGGGTGTGGGATCCCCGTGGTGGAGCGTTCTGCTGCTCTGAGCCCTGCGCTGTCTCAGCGATGCAAACGGGGAACTGCAATTACCGCCGGAGTCGGGAGCCGTGTGGGTGGTGGGAAATGGGGCTGCAAAATTAGGCATGTCGGGAGGGAATAGGGCAAGGAGCGTGTTGGAGTCTCTGCTGCTCTGCCTTAGCAAAGCAGGGAAAACATCAGCTCTGCCAAATCCCAAAGCCACGGAGAAGCGTGATGCTGCACTGGGAAAGTGGGATGCAGCTGCACTGAGCCCGCCTGCCATCCTGGAGCATTGGGATTGTCCCCTCCCTGATGGCTCAGCCCCATACCTTGCACCAGGGGTGAGCACAGAGGCCAGGAGGGTCACTGCCTGCCCAGTCCCACATCCCACCTCCAAGAGGACCAGGAGGGGATGCCCAAAAGGACAATGTCACTGGCTGGTGGCACCTTCCCAAGTGCTCTCTCACATGAAGAGACAGACCTGGCAGTGCCAAAAGAGCTCAGCCCCAGAGGACGAAAACACATGGCATGACAAACACCAGAAGCTTGTGTTCACCCACTCCCCTGCACCCCAGAACGGGGCAGAGAAGATGCAAAGAAGCAGCATCTCCTCTTCCCCCTGTCAACCCACCTGGAGCATCTCACCAACACCTGCCTATGCCATGAGCCCATAAAACAGCTACCCCTGGGCATGAGTCTGGCTCATCCTTGAGGCAGGACAGCCTCAGTGGCTGGTGGTCCATGTGTGGGCAGCTAAGGAGGGAGGAGCTGTAGGAGACACTCCCAGCTCAAAGGGACCCACACAGAGCAGCTGCCTCTATGAGAAGGTAGTAACCCAACAGATGCACTCTGCAGGCAGGGCTGGCTTCTGCAATCCATTTGGTTAACTGCTCTGCACTTGAAAGGTCAAGGAAAAACAAGAAGCAAGTGGGAGCCAAGGTGTGGGCACACACACCAACATGTGCCCACAGCATGCTCTTGTAAAACAAAGGAGGAGCAGCACAAGGCAGAACTTCAGGAGCACTTCCACGATGCATTTTTGCTACCAAACCCTTCCTGCATCTCTTTCCCCTCTCGACACCTCCAGCCCCCCACTCCCTGCCATCCCAAGGAAGGGATGAGCCAAAGCCATGCAGGGGGAGCACTCGCTGGGTGCAGGGTGCGGGCACAGCACAGCCCCTCTGCAGAGCCTCTGCTGCCTCTGCAGGTGCAGGATGGCAAACCAGGAGCACAGGCGATGGGGACACACCAGGCAGGGGACACTGCTGCCAGAGCTGCCCAAGGCATGGCATTCCATGGATCTGCAGCCGGCAGAGGGCTGCAGCTCCTCTTCCACGGGGCCTCAATAATAAACCCGTGGCTCACACGCTGCTCGCTGTGGAGGCACAAAAAAAGAGTTCCTGCCAGGCTTTTGTGCTCTCTGGAAGCTCTGATCAAAGCCATCGGGCTCTGTGGGAGGGACAGGGACACAGACAAGGGGAAGGATGTGACAGCATCCCTGTGCACGTGCCTCCATCTGCTCCCTGCCAAGCCACCTCTGCACAGGAGCAGGACCAGGTGTGGGATTCACACCTAGGGCTCCCTGTTGTTTCCAAGAGGCACAGCAATGCCTTCATGACCTGGAAGTTCCTACCAATCATGGAGCCAGGTTTATTCCAAAGGGATCAGGGGGGAGCCAGGCAAACCTGCTAGGCCCACAGCATCCTCCTCTATCTCCTGTTCTGCTCTCCTAGCATCTCCCCAACACTCAGGAAGCAGCTGCCAGATACTCAGTGGAGCAGCGAGCACGCCGCTCTCTCCAGAATCCACCCAAGGGCACAGTGTTCTCCTGCTGGGGATCTGAGCTTCTCCTGGGGCATTTTGCAGATACTGAGTCATTATACAAGGAAATGCAGTTTCTCTTTCTCAGCCCTGGTCCCCAACAGCATCCAACCCAGAATATGTGCCTGCCTTGGAGGGAACTGACTTCCATATAAACGAGTCTGGTGCTGGGAAAGGTCAAATAGCCAAAGGCTTTAGTGAGCTCTGGTACCAGCAGGGTCGGCTCAGGGTGGGCTGAGGAGGAAGACAGTTGTTTGGATTAAACTGAGCTCAAAATCCTGGCCTTGACGGACACTTGGTGTAACCTTGGAGTCATAAAACATGCCTGTTACCTCTGGTGACACAGATAACTGACAGCAGCTCCCCTGTCCCAGGGTGCTGGTGGGGTAACAGCTGCTTAGGTACCAGGATGGGGGCTCAGGCAGTGAGAACCCACTGTTCTCCTGTTCTTTTGACACCAGATACACAAACTAGCCATGGTTTTGGGGACTCTGACCTTAAACACCACCCCCAAGGTCACGTGGCTTGGTGCAGTGCAGGGCTGCATTGCTGCTCTCCGCAGCACTGGCAGCATCTCACACAGCCCACGGGAAGCCTCCAAAAAGGACCAGTGTCCCACAGCACCCCTGAGCAAAATGGGCTTTTGGGAGAGCAGGAGAGCTTGAGGCAGACACTGGGGAGTAGGTGGAGTCCTGTGGTCCTCCTGGATGGGGCCATGGCTGGCAGATTCTGGTCCCATGGCACAACGATCCTGACCCTGGGGTACTGCATCTCCTTGCTGAGATGCTGAAAGCCAGGGCCAAGCTTGCAGTGGGATTCTGGCCTGCAGCAGGGAAAGGTCAGCTGGTAGCTGATCATTCATTTCATTTTCCTGTTAGCAACACCACTGGGTGAAGGAGCAGCTTCTCCTCCTCAGCTCAGTCAGCTGTGGCGTCCTCCCTTCGCACTCTGCTCCCAAAGGACATGGCCTTGAGGATGGACTGTGCCCACCAACACTTTTGGAGACCCTCCTTGCCCCTGTACAACTCCCACTGTGAATCCAAGCACCAGCTGCCACAGGGCTTCCTGCCACCACCCACCACCGACAGCGTATAAACAATCTGCATTGCAGCAATCGGGCAAGTATATTCATGAAGGGGTAAACATATATATATAAAATGACCCCACAAGTGATTAGCTTATGCCCTGAAGCGTGAGATTTAATTACCCTTATCTGAGCCAGCACAGCTACAAATGTTAATCACATTATCATCCAGTGAGCTTATGTTCAGCAAAGTGCCTACGCGAGGACCGCGCTTTCTGCTGTGCAAGTCTGAGAGGACGCCTGCTCTGGCAAAGAATTATTTATTAATCTTACTTCTTTCTGTCCCACATTTGCTCAGGGAGAACATGATGGATTTGAGGCTATTTAGTGCCAGCTATTTAGTGCCAGCTTTTCACCCAACTTTCCCTTGGAGAAGTTCCCACTGGGGTGGCTGCAAGCTCAGGAGAGCCCAGCCTGCATCTGACACGGGGACATTGAGAAATAGCTTCTTTTTAGCTTGTCATCACCAAAATAAAAATTGATCTGGAGTCACTGGGAGACAGAAAAGAG